AAAGTGTACTATACGAATGTATGAAATGCAGTAGTCACAAAGAGGATAATGGCATAAACAAAAATTTTATATTTTTTTTCAGAACTTTGATACATTCATTTGGTATTGATAGAATCTGCTATACTACTTGTAAACCTATCTCAAACAAGGACTAATATTCCTATAATAAACTAGTAATATTTGTCTTCATTTATAAAAGCGTATCGTTATTTCTATATGACTGGTAGTTTATAAAATATTCTAATTAGTAGTAGTAGGTAGTTTATAAAAATGTTAATTAAGTTAAAATGTGTGGACACAAACTACCAAGTATAGCGTTATTTGGTAGTTTTTATTCACATATTTTAACTTAAAAATGTAAACTTTACAACATTTGTTTAAAAGAGCTTGTTTTTCTTGTGTTGAGATAGCTTTTTCGAATGAGTACATTAAAAAATCTAGTAATAGTATATTAAAAAAATAAATATAATTATTCTGCTTCTATTAAGCTACTTAAATTAATTAATAAATTTATTTGTAAAAAGATTTTTCTATTCCATAGTTTTACTGTTATATTATCAAATTTCTGTTTGAAACATTCGGCATTTATTATCAACTTAAGCTTCATTAAATAATACCCTAAATACATAACATTGTACAACAATATATTCATTATTCAAAAGTGCTTACATTAAAGTTTATTTGAATAAAGAATATTTTATTCTGTTATCTTATCAAATTTCCGTTGATTTTATATAAAATCCAGCATTTATAATTTTAGGCTTCATTAAATAATACCCTAAATACATAATATTCTACAAAAATATATTCACTGTTTTACATTTCGTAATATTAAAGCCGTCGGTACCTACTGAATGTTGTCGAACTATTTACTGTCTGCGAAATTATGACTCACAGACAGATATTAATATTCTGTATAATGAAACATTACATTTTGGCTTATTGTATCCTAGATTGAGTTATTATATGATATATCATTCATTTATTAGGGCTTATTACACTATTATGCAAATAGAATCACATAGAGAAATATATAAAGTATACCAAAACGCAATCTCAAGTCTAGATTAATCCTAAGCTATAATAAAATCTTTATATTAGATATTGTGAACTTTTAATAAAGCAAAAAGTATAAAATAATATGTATAAAGTTTTTATGTGAAAGAGTAATAAATATTTACCAGAGATAAGCTGTAAAAACTCGTCTGAGCAGTTACCTCAGTCTCTCTTATTTCAGTTGCTAAGCAGTTAATTTGTAAGCTGTATTCTAGTTGTATGATTAGATTAAACAGTCAAATTAAGGATTAGAGGCATTACATCTTAGCCCTCTGGAGTGGCATGATTGGTTTCGCGTATGGTACATGATAACGTGATGTCCGTTATACTATTCATGCATATAGGCGAGGTTACTTACTCTTAGATAGGCATGCTGGTTTGCCATTGCAATTACTCAAAATGGGGCCTCTTCTTCGAGCACTTCTCGCTTTTTAAGTGTCCCACAATTATTACTTCTTATCAAATATCAGTAGAAATTTATACATATATATAATATATATACTAGATTGTGTTGTATACCTCAATATTATCAAAGCGTGGATATTACCTAACCAAAATGACCAAACCCTTTGCTATAACAGTTTATAGGTAATAAACATAATATATTCTGCCCCAAACGTTTCGGATTAAATTTATGGGGTGTTAAATACCCTTATTTGTTTGTTTGAATTGCCCGAGAGATTTACGGGGGTAATATTAATTAACTTCTAAATGATAACCGTAGCTCCGGGCAACTGACTGGATAGAAGTTGCACTCGTAACTTGGCATCAGGGATGCCAACCATACTGGGATACTAATAAAGGATAAAATAAGGATACAAATGCGAGTATTTTGATCTTTGGTAGAAGAACTCAGAATTGGACAAGTCTGTACGAGTTTTTGACCTTCGAAAATCGGTCAAAATATAATTACCTATGTACGAGTAATGTATGGGATTTTATCAGATTTCTATATTTATTTGTACGAGGCTGTATTTAAGGTTGCCATCCTTGGTTAGCATCCAAAGTATAGCGTAAAACAATTTTAATTAAGTTTTGCAACTGATTAATTGCGTAAGAAAATGGGTTTTATGCCGCGGACCCTTCACGAGTGTTTTCGATTTGTTTTTTTGGCTACAAAAGTATCGTAGCAGGGAAAGTAATTTTATGTTTATTTTTTGTAAAGTGTAGAATGTCTAAATGATTTTAGTGTATAATTAATTAAGATTTTATATTAAATCTTATACTCTTTGTAGACATTGAGGAAGAATTTTCATTTCTAGAACATCAGAAACATATCTAATACAAAGACGAAAATTCGGAATTTGATTCTATATCAAACAGTTTGGCTAGTATGATAATAGTGGGCCTGAAATAATTTTATTATATTTTTTTAATACAGATTTTTTATGACGATATGAAACATAATAAATAAATCCTATACTTTTTATACCGGACAGACTACATCCGAGTGAACCTTCATGGCATAGGCATAAATAAAAAGATAACACATAAATTATTTATCAAGTTTTATTAAACTTCAGTAAATCATTATAATAGGTATTATTATAATGATTTACTGAAGTGGCCACTAAAACTTCACCGTAAGAAACTGAACACAGTGCAGAAGGCACTTCAAAATCTGCGGAAGGTCTTATGGTTTGGAAGAAGGCAGGGATTAGCCCTGTCTGGCGGCGCTAGTTTGCAACTCGACTCAGGTCATCGTTATTTCGATCACCCTTACAATCGGATATCGATCCTTCAGCGAAGTGGAATTATTATTACAATGACGATACTTCCATCCAACCTTTAACTCCGCTTTTCATTCTCTTACAACCTTTTTATCGCATCAAAAAGTAGCCTATATCCTATATTTTAGGCTTTAGTTATGTATATCTGTATCAAATTTCATTCAAATCGGTGCAGACGATTTGGCGTGCAAGCGTAATAGACAAACAGAGTTACTTTCGCATTTAATATTAAATAGGGTTAATCATATGTATTACCTACCTAAATATTTTTCTATTTTTTAACACCATTACGTGGTAGAATTGACGTGTAATAACATGTACTACCGAAACCTTTGTTAATTCTTCTATATTAATCATATGTCTAATTTATAAAAACACAATGATAATGTTGTTTTAATCAAATTAACTAATTTCTTTCTACGCTTGACAATGACTGATGTAACTACGAATAATTTAATACGGAAATTATCTAATAAATTGCCTAGTTTTCTTTTTATTAAAGCTAATCAAAACGAAAACGGGTCATGTGTACGTTCTCATTTGAGGTAAACTGCTGTAACCGACAGTCAGAATATTTGGCTTTATATGCATATCCTACATAAATAATACGTAGTTTTGAAATCTTATATAAATGATGAGTTTAGTGCATTATCGGTGATAGAAAGTAGGTTTATTAGAAACATTAATCTTCTAATATATAAAATTCTCGTGTCACAGTTTTTGTAACAAAACTCCGTCGAAACAGCCCGACCGATTCTTATAAAATTTTGTGTGTGTGTTCAATCTGAGTATGGGACGTAAAGTATATTTAATGCCTCTAAGTGATGTGTTTTAACACAGATAACATAATATTACATAGTTTTATTATGAATTTTAAACGGAGGTCATTTTGACCTAATTTTTAATGTAATACTTGTTGTAATATTGTCTAAATCTAAATCAATTTTAGTGTATCTTTTTTATATTGTAATAACTATCTGTTTGTTAGGGTTTCATGTAAATATAACGAAGGAGAAATTAAGATGAAATTATCATAGAACATTGTTGTTAAATATGGATCTAAAGATAGGTAAGAAAAGTACACTTTTGTTACATATATGCTTAGTTTTTGTAATGTAAAATTAAACCCACTTTGTTTTATCTTTTAATGGCATTCTCGTATTGCTATTTTGTTTTATGTACTGTTTTCAATGTTGCCATTTAACACTGTTTTTACTACACCTATAAAGACGAAGACATAACAATATCTCATTGTTTATGCTATACTCGCATAGTAATAGTGTGCTATGTTCCTATTATTTTTAAATGAGCTAAAATTTTATGTGGCTGATCGAAAATGTAGAGCATTCTAGCGCTAGTGGTTTATTACTGCAACTTATACAGCTGAGGTAGTGAATTCAAATCTAGCTAATTCCACAGACTATTGCACGTTAATTTCTATTTCGACTGTTTATTCTTTATTTATAGAAAAAACAATAATAAACGACATTAATTCGAGATATGACGATTGGTCGGTCCTTACCATTTTGGATTTTGTAAATAGATAGATCAAATTTTTATTCACAACAACTTTTTTCTAATAGATAATAATGGAATCATGCAGGTGCCGCCGGTAACTGTATAGATTGGCTGGATATTAGTGAAGGATTCTATGATGAGCATGAGGTTATGTAGGCCCATCGTGACACATTCACTAGGAATTAACCACGGTAATTTCAATGGGAACCGCGTGGAGGTCGATAAAATATAGTAAATTCTTAGCAATAAGATTACTATACTATTTTTGACGACCTCGGTGGTCTAGCGGTCACACCGCTTTACGACCGATGGTCGCGGGTGCGATTCCTCGCATGGCACAAACATTTGTATTCATGAGTATGATTGTTCCTATCGGTATAATATGTATGTATTTACAAAAAAAAAAATATATACATGTATTTATATCAGTTGTCTAGTACTCATAACACAAGCTCTGATTAGCTTGGGACTAGATGGCGATGTGTGAATTGTCCTGAGATTATTATTATTATTCCCCACTAACAGTGCCTTTCTCCCTATTCATATCAACTGAAATACAATTAATGCTACAAACACAATACATTCAAAATATGTTTATAGATAGTTGACATGTTATATTGACAGTTGAGAATCCCTCTGGTACTTATTACACTAAAGGGGTACTTTAAGATAATAGTCGTGAAGTTATATACATACCTAACTCCTCCTCTCTTCGTATCGTAGTTCAGCAGTCTTGCACCATGCTTCCAGTTGACCTGACGCGTAGGCTGCGGCACCTCGCTGACTATGCACCGCAACTCAATAATCGAGCCTTCTTTGTAGAACTTATCTTGAAGTGGACGTCCACGCTCGTCTATTATTTCTACTTTTGGCACTGTTAAACAAAACAGAAACACATGATATTTTTTTTATAATTTGTACAGCAGTATCTGGTTCCAAACTAAGTAGAGTTTAGGCTAAACATTAGGTACTAACAATATTTATGAGCATTTTACTTAGCGTCATCTAGTCTAGAACTTATGCTGAAGAATTTACTTAACTTAGGTAAATGCTGAACAACATTTACCTAAGTTAAGTAAATATCAAAAGTGTGCCTTTTCCCACCGCTTTCTGTTTTACCCAGTGGTTAGCTGGTAAAGAATTTCATATGGCATTATGGTTGCTAATTGTATACATTTTTTAAATATTACATAAAAAAATATTATGCACATAATTAACAACTGATAGAAATACTTAAATATCATATTTTTTTAAACATATAGTTACTCAATTTACATATGAAATACAAAGATCAATACAATCAATCATATTTATAAATACAAATGTTTGTATCAAATCCACGACCATTGACGTGATAAGATAGTATGTCAAACCGCTAGACCACCTATACAGTCATACAATTCTGCTTTATTGCACAGTAAATAAAATTAAAATCCATACAAATACGAGGCATTCGAGTATTCGTGTTTCGCATACGACCTGGTGACAGACGTGATTCGACTTAACAATTACGCAATTTTGAATTTTCCTGACATATAATAATAGTAATCTTTATGAACCACCTTGAAAGGCGTAATTCAGAAAGAACTCGAGAGAATATGCTTGAAGTTATTACTGTTGTAGAGTTGTGATTTTTATTCAATAATAATAATAATAATATGTCTTCATTGGAACTCAAAAATAATATTTTACAAAGTGAGTAACAATAATACGATATAATAATAATAATAATATGTCGGGACAATTCACAGCGCTATCTAGTCTTAAGGTAAGTAGAGCTTGTGTTATAGGTACTAGACAACTGATATAAACAATAGATATATTTTTAGAAATATGGAAAACTTACAAACCGATACCAATAATCATACACATAAATACAAATGTTTGTATTTATGTGTATGATTATTGGACGTAAAATCTAACTTCAAGTCAAACATTCATTCAGCAGTTAGTCGTGAGATATACCAACCGGAGTAACCAGACAGACAATGTAACTCATATATCGTTTGTAAACAAATGTATTCACAAATAATAGGATTATTGTGAAAATATAATTAAATATTTATAACAAAATTTGTGACTAATTGAATATTATTTAAGTCCCACGGGATTATGTGGAGTTTAATCGAATGAAATCGAATTACCACAAATTTTAACTCAAATAGCATTATATAAAATTAATCTTTACTGGTGTCATCATTGGACATATTTTTGAACCAAAACAAACAAAATGTACATATTTTACTGTTTGGCACAAACACTCATATTCATGACTGCAAATATATACATCTTGTAAAGAATCGAACCCGCAGCTATAGGAAGAAATAGAAATATTCTTTATTCAAATAAACTAAATACAAGCACTTTTGAATAGTCATATTTTTATTCTACCACTCATTCGGAATGCAGACTCATCACAAAAAAAATGAGCAAGTAATGCAAGTTATATTAAGTTTATTTGAATAAAGATTATTTCTATTTCTATTTCTAAATAATTTTATTGAACAAAGTCTATCCCGATTTGTAAAGCAACCAACTTATTACATTTTCCTTCACTGTATTTGTGTCTATGCGCACAGATTTGTCAGTGACACCTATCTGTCATTGTCAAAGCCTTTAGATCCAGGATCCAAATTGAAATCAGAGAATAACCTTTGACATCTTAGGTTAAAGTTACGGCAATGTAGAACCGAAATTGGAATTCCTTGGCTGGTATTAGACAATCTCGTAACTACATACTGTTTGAATTTTCCTAACGTTGGTTAGTGAATACTTAAGTAGTGCTTTTTATTTAATTTAACTATTAGTTACTTAGATATTGGTAACTACACAAAAATGAATTATAAAATAAATAAACTATTACCTTATAATAAACTCTAGTACTTATATATTGTATACTAGCTTTTGCCCGCGGTTTCGCTCGCGTTAATTTATTCCCTTAGGGGTGCAATTTACCAAAATCCTTTCTTAGGGAATGCTTACGTCATAGTAGCATTATGCATGCAAAGTCTCAGCCCGATCGGTTTAAAATTGACAGTTTCATACAAACTTTCATCCCCTATTTTATCCCCTTAGGGGTGGAATTTACCAAAATCCTTATCCCTCATAACATCTATCCTGCCCTTATTAGATCACTATGTCAGTCACCATTGAGTTATATATATTTAGATTAATATTATAAAGAAGTAAAGATTTTTTACAGTCTACCTTTAGTTGATTGAGAATCAGTTGGCTCAAATTAAACTGTTTGGATCAATTTCAGTTTATATAATTAATAATAATAACTATTCATTCATTTATAAACTTAAGAGCAACGCTCTTGTCGATGGAGCTCTTGCCACTTTCTACGATCTTCCATCTTACTCTTTAAGCCTTGATACGACACGAATCCAATTCTGTCTTTAATTTGATGTAGCTGTGCCTAGTCTTCCTCTCCCCCTCTTTCCTTCTATCTTTCCCTTAATAATTAGTTTCAAAAATTCATCGTGTTGTGTCAAGTGCCCTAACATTTATCCTCGTCTCTCATCATAATAACAATATCCCTGAACAATTCACACAACGCCATCTAGTCCTAAAGTAAACAGAACTTGAATTATGAATATACTAGCTAAATGACATAAAAACTTATATACATCTTTTTGTTTAAATACAATATACATATAAACAAAACACCTTGTTCCAAATAATCATACTCATGAATACAAATGTTTGCACCGTGCGAGGAATCGAACAAGCGTCAATCGGAAGTAAAACGGTATGCTAAACCACTAGACCAGTGAGGCAATTATTTATTACAAAGCTGTTATCTTACAACATGACTATTTATTTTGATTAATGCTTTTGAAACAGTTATTGTTCACAACACTCAATTAGCGGGACAGTCGTAAAAAGAAAACAACATCGCAAGTACGGAATGAAGCAGAAAACGTGTTATATCTACGTGGTTTTCTTTTTAAATCACCTTAAAAAAGAGGAGGTTGTCAATTCAACCGGAATTTTAATTCGTTAACGAACCTCAGAACTTTTCACTACGTTATAGATTTTTATTATTTTGTTTAATTCCGCTACAATTAACATATTCGGTTCGAAAACTTGACTATCGTTACGACTCTCTCTAATCGTGATCAAATTCTGACTATTATTAAGTCTACCCACATTACGACACGTGTTTCGCCTCTGAACTAGGCATCATCAGGCATTGATTAGATTAGAGTTCGAATATAGCTTGGAAGCCTAGAGTTGACTGTTCGGCGACTGAACCGAAAACACAGTAACTGTAGCGGAATTTAACAAAATAATAAAAATTTATTTAATTAAGTACTGAATAGGACTTCCGCAAAATAATACCTAATTTGATTAAAGTATGTTATTTGCTCTTTTAAATTTTCCAAATAATATATAGCTGTTAATTAATAATAACAATTACAATGTTAGCATTGTAAAACGTTGTGATCTGGGTTGTTCACTTATTTACCATTCCAGTTAATTACCATTGTATTTCTCTTGTGAATTATCTTTATATATAAAAATTACGTGTGACGTTGTTTGTCTGCGATGGACTCCTTAACTACTGAATCGATTGCAAATTTGATTTGCACATTGTATTCAATTTGATCCAACTTGAAAGGTAGGATAGGTTACATCTCAATTTATAGTCGCAATATTATTTTATTGCCAATTATTTTTATATATAAAGAAACTGTTAGCCACAACAATGCTTGCCCGGGTCTGCTAGTGTATATAAAATGGACCAAGAAATTTCTGTGCGTAACCCCAATAGAATTTAATTCTCCAACAACTAAATTCTCCACAGACCTTCTTCACGAATTCATTTTGCACTAATTTTGTTAGCCTTCTCGTGTCTAATACTATTAACGGACTACCGAAACCGTGAAATTAAAAAAAACTCTAAAATAAAGTATACGCCAGAAATGAGGATGTATATCACGTACAGACTAGAATTTTAATTTGTATACTAACTGATGCCTGCGACATTGTCCGCGTGTTATTTGTCATTCCTCCGATTAAGGCCTTCAAACTCACTCGATCTCGATCGACACGATCTTTAAATAAAATAAAATGTTCTAACTTACGACAATTTTATGATACGAAACTTATTTCAATTATATTGCAAGAAATGAGAACCTCGTCTGGAATCGAGCATGAAAAAAGAAATTAGATTAAATTGTCAAGGGTTGACGAAAATTTTCAATTTTGTTTAGCTTACATTATGGAAGAATTGATCTCAATACCTTACAATACTTCTTAATAGACGTCATTTGATGTAAATTGTATCGGAATATGGACAAATAGCTTGGTTGGCTGACTTACAGGGGAGAAAGTTATATAACTGTGGGGGTAACGCAGCTGAAGTCCAGTCACAACGCGTGTTTCAAGGTGTTTGTGGCCCGGGTCCCCACTAACATGCTGTCCCCCTTCATTAAGGAGGACTACTGGCCGAAGAGTGTGAATATCGAATGCCATTATCAGTGCCGTGAACACAGGATCAATTTCAGTATACCAATATATTAATTTTAAAATATTAATTCATATGTATGTTAGTCTATAAGGTATTTATAATATGGGCCTAGTAGCCTGAAATAAATAAATGAACGCAAAAACCCGCAATACGCAGCGTCTGGCCTTGGCTTTTGAATTTATTGTATCACAAACAGAAAAGTATTAATTTAAATTTACGATTAAATAACTTGTACAAAAGTCGGTCTCTTTAAACATTCACTTCCAGATGACCTTTAGGTGAAAGGTAAAGATATGGGAAAAACAGTAGGTGGTGTACATAATAACACAAATAATATATTCATTGAAATATATTTGTAAGCGAAGGGACTGTTAATATTGTGCTGGTAAACGTAA